AGGATCGCTTCAGCCCAGGAGTATGAGGTTGCTGTGAGCTAGGCTGATGCCACGGCACTCACTCTAGCCAGGGCAACAGAGTGAGACCCTGTCTCAAAAAAAAAAAAAAGGTATCAGAAAAAATTATCATTGATCAATGATATTATCTATCTAGCCAATGTAGAAGTCATTAGAAGAACTAAGAATACAAACAATTTCTAGTCTAAATAAGAGACGTTATATTTAATACTAAAAAATTATTTTAAATTATGAATTATGAATATAAACCTCAATTTAACATTAGGAGAAAATAACTTACCTAAACTCCCAGGAGCTAAAGATCATTTGTTCTAGTCAACAGACAATTCTCATGAGCCTATTATGTGCCAGTCAATCAATATACAAGATGCTGAGATACAAAGATGAATGAACACTACCCCTAAGGAGCTCACCACCTAGTAGAAAGTGGCTGATTTTTGTAAAAGTGTCTCTAGGCAACAGAAACCCTATCAAGGTTCTGAGGTAACAGAGGAAGGAGTGATTGCCTAAGAAAAAGCATAGAAAGCTTCAATAATGAGGCAACTCCAGAGCTGAGTTTATAAAGATAAGAGTTCACAAGAAAAAGAAAAAAGAAAAAAAAAAGAGGGGGTTGGGGGTGGAAAAAGAGTTCACAAGCTATGATTTGGGTGGTAGTTACACAACTATATACATATGTAAAATTTCATGGAGCTGTATATAAAATTAATGTACTTTACATGCTTCACTATATTTGTTTACCTCAAGAAAAAAGATGACGAAGTTCATCAGAGAACATGAGTAGAAGGTCATTTTAGATAGACTGAACAATGTATACACAAATATAAAGGCAAGAATAGCTTGGTGTGATGCTTTAATTTGGTACTGAGGGAGAAGAGGCTGGAGAAGGAAACAGAGGCCAGATAATGAAGGGCCTTGTATGTTTTGGTGGCAACAGGGAAACATGAAAGGGTTTCAAGACTAGTGATACGATCACATTTGCATCAACTACCCAGCCATCACTGCACATAATATTCCTAAGTGGTGATGCTGTATTCAGAGAGACTATCTAGAAAGCTACATAAAAAGTACAAGCAAGAGATAATTAGGGGGAAGAAACTTAAGTTTTCTTAAGTGCCAGAGACTATGTACTTCATATATACTATCTTATTAAATCCTTAAAACAATCCTAATGAGGGGGGAGGGGGGAGGAAGGGACGGGTATATGCATACACAAAGAGTGCAATACCCACCACCCGAAGAATGGACATATTTGAAACTCGGACTTGGGGGGGGAGGGGGGAGCAAGGGCAACATACGTAACCTAAACATCTGTACCCCCATAATATGCTGAAATAAAAAAAAAAAAACAAAAAACAATCCTATGAGATTGGTATAATCACACTTTTATAAATGTGGAAACTGAGGCTCAGAGACATTTGTAAAATGTTTCTACCATACCATGCCACTGAGGGTAGAATGGATTTGAAAGATATCTCGAAGGTAAAATCAACAGGTATTTATGATTATCTGGATATAGTTTATAGTTTGGGGTGGGGGACAATGAGAAAAAAGACAGGCAGGCAAATATATGCACACCCACAAGTTAGAAACAACTCTCAGATTTCTACAAAACACACTTCTTACAGTACTTAGCCCTATGCCTAAATAATTAATTTTCAGTGTAGGTAAGATGTTTCTATTCACCTGAATTTCTTCTTTCATTAAATATGAGAGGCCCACTTCCTCTTCTCCCTCTCCCAATTCTGAGCCTGCTTCATCTTCATCCTCATCTTCTTCCTCTTCCTCCTCCTCCTCCTCATATCCTTCAGGTGGACCAGCTTCATCTTCCTCTTCATCTTCATCATCTTCATCTCCATCTTTAAAAATATTTTAACAGATGAGCAAATGGCTGGGCAAATGTTTCTGACCAGTATGTTGATCCTTTCTACCTTGCCTAATCACTTCAAACTCTTAAGTCAATGGTTGGAAAGCATCTCAAGGTGATTTTTTTTTAAGATTTCCATTTTACAACATTCAAAGTTACTGCTTGTGGAGTATAGTTTTCTAAATACTGACATTTATCCAATGTATAGATTTTCATCAAAACATTACTTTGTGGGTACTTCAAAACCTGCTTCCCCATTATTCCATCATTTTATAATATTGTCTATCCATCAAATTTCTTTTTTTTTTTTTTTTTGAGACAGAGTCTCACTATGTTGCCTGGGCTGGAGTGCCGTGGCGCAATCCTAACTCACAGCAACCTCAAACTCCAGGACATCATCAAATTTCTTTTAACATTTAACAGTAAAAAATTTTTCACCCGGCTGGGCACGGTGGCTCACGCCTATAATCCTAGCACTCTGGGAGGCCAAGGCAGGCGGATTGTTTGAGCTCAGGAGTTCGAAACCAGCCTG